ACAATGGCTGTAATTAAACTCCATTCTTGGAGGTTTTCGCCGTAGAGAATGAAGCAATAAATAAGCCCACCTTGGTCGATAGATAGTACTAGGTTACTGTCATCTCTGAATGTGGTCTTGAGTATCTAGGTCACATGACATGCACGTTCAGTTACTAGTCATAGACAACAAGTCTTTCATAAGTATAAGTACCCACTCTCTGCACATGTTAGCGCAGAGAATTGTCTTATGCACCTGGACGCAAGGAGATGGTGTTTAGCCTCTCCTAATCACACTGCCACCGCTGTCTGCAAAATCCCAATGGCTCTCCAGACGGCTGCGTGCCTGCATGCATGCCTCTGCCTTGCAAATGTAGCGCCACCCCAAATTCCTATGCACCTGATCCGGCCGTCCTGCGCTGCTGAATGGAGTACCACACTACACTACACCACACCTGCGCGACAGCGCGGCGTCGTCCTCGATGACGCAGTGGCCAGCCCCAGCCGGCCAGCCGTCGCCGACGCAGAGCCGTCCAGAGCTCGATCTGGCGGGAGCCTGATGAATGCATGAACCCCGTCCTTGGAGATCCGGGAAATCTTAGCCACAGGGCTGGCTGCTTCCTCATGTGAGTGTATGTGACCGCTGCGTGCTTGTGCTGCGAGCCAGGGAGGGGGCCAGCCAGGGCCATGGACGAAATGATGAGCTACGTTGTGGTAGGCGTCGTGCTGCCAGCCGGCAGATATGTGTTTGGTTCGTGCGTGCGTGACCACCGCAAAGGAAAAAAAGGCTGCGACGGCGAGCCGCAGGCAGGCCACCACCTTTCCTTGTGATTTTTCGCTGCATGCTAGCAGTAATCTTTTGTTGCTAATGCCACAGGCGATGGGCACTAGCGTGTACCCCCTTGATATTCCCTTTGCTCCATCTCTGGTCATTGTCACTCACGCGCCGGATCGGGCGCGTCCAGGGGCTACACACCAAACCCAAACCCCCGCCCCACACTGCCGCATACCACCAAACATTACAAAGGCACAAGGATGTGCCGTCGTGTGGTCATTGCGCTTGTGCACTGTGTAGTATGCAGTTGGGCCACTGCGATCGATCTGCGTCGGCGCCGGCAGATCTGCGTGTTCATGCTGTGCGCATCTGCCTTGCCTGCATCCATCCGCGTCGCGTGCATGGAGATGGTGACTCTGTGCGCGGTGGCCTTTTCCTTCTTGCACGCAGGCGCATGGCATGGCGTTGGCGCGGAGCGAGACTGCGATGGCGATCGATGATGCGCTGCCGCCGGCCGTGGTTTGTTTTGCTTTGACCTGCGGCTGCCTGCTGCCTCGGGAATTGGGGGCGGGCAGGCAGAAACGGCCGGTGCACGCCTCTGCCGCTGGCTGCGCCCCTTTTTCTTCTCCCTTGCGATTAGGATACGCTTTGCTTGTCTGAAGAAGAAGAAGCATATCTTATCCGTGGTAGATGCAGTTTTTAAATGACAAGTGTTCACCGTAAGCACTACTGCACTAGACCATTACTGGTGTTGAACTGCCAGTGTCACTTTGGCTCGTTCACCCGTCGCCCGTCGGCGCCGATCGATCATGATTGTGGGCTGCTCTGAATCTCTGCCATGCCGTCTGTCTGTCTGGCCCTAGCTTTTGCCTTCATGCTCTGTCAACCACAGTGTGCGTGGCCCTACTTGACGCGCACATTTCACTTGCTGCATCATCATGAGAACCTCCTTTACTTACTTCCATGGCAACGCAAGATGAATCTTCAAATGGGAGTGCAAACCTAGTACTGTATTATTATTGTTTTTTGCACTTCCGCCAGTGGGGTTCTCTGAATAATTTCGCTTCGCAGGCCCTGGGTGCTCCTCCGTGGCTTACGGCGCGTCCGAGGAGATCGGCCCGTTCCGGATCAAGCCCAACGGGACGGGGCTCTACCTCAACAAGTACTCGTGGAACAGAGGTGAGTCACTGGTACCACTCCTGTTGTTATGCCTGCAGATGTGTTCGGCACAGGCTACTCGCTGAACTGACTGAATTTTGTTGACTGAACTAACTGAATTTTGTTGCTGCATGCAGAGGCGAACCTTCTCTTCCTCGAGTCGCCGGCCGGCGTCGGCTTCTCCTACTCCAACACCTCCTCCGATCTCAAGACCTCCGGCGACGAGAGGACCGGTAATCCTCCATCGTATAACAAGTTTGGGTCAGGTAGAATTTCCACTGTTCAAACCTACTAGTGATTTTGATGTGCCTGTGGAATGCTGTGATGCAGCTCAAGACTCGCTGCAGTTCTTGATCAGCTGGATGTCGCGGTTCCCGCAGTACCGGCACCGGGATTTCTACATCGCCGGAGAAAGCTACGCCGGTAAGTTACTTGTGATCTCAGTGGGGTAGCCTTCTTTCCGTAGTTCTCTGGCTTTCAGAGCACCGGGAGGAAAATTCTATGATAACTGCCACACTAGCACTATGATAGGAATAATGACCCACCTGAAAAGTACTTACACTCACTCTTGGGATCAATTCCTTTTATCTCCAGGCCACTACGTGCCCCAGTTGGCGAGGAAGATCGTCGAGTACAACAAGGCTTCGCCCAACCCCTTCATCAACCTAAAGGGAATCCTTGTGAGCACCACACTCACTCAAAAGTACCTACAGCATTCCACCAGTGGTGGATCGATCGCACTGAATCTTCCATTTTTTTGTTGATCGTGATGATGTACCCAGGTGGGGAACGCGGTGACCGACAACTACTACGACAACATCGGCACGGTGACCTACTGGTGGACGCACGCCATGATCTCCGACGGCACCTACAGGGCCATCCTCAAGCTCTGCAACTTCAGCAGCGCCAACGTCTCGAATGCCTGCAACCGCGCCATGAGCTACGCCATGAACCACGAGTTCGGGGACATCGACCAGTACAGCATCTACACGCCCTCCTGCCACGCCACCTCCGATTCGTCGGCGGCATCCGGCAACTCCACTGCACCGCGCAGGCACCGCCGTGCAGTGCTCAGGTTCAAGGACACCCTCATCCGCCGGAGGTCCAACAGCTACGACCCCTGCACGGAGACCTACGCCGAGAAGTACTACAACCGGCTCGACGTGCAGAGGGCCATGCACGCAAACATTACAAGGATCCCCTACAGATGGACCGCCTGCAGGTTCAGCTTCAGACAAACTTTCTTCTCTGTTCTTGTTATGGCTGGGTCATGGAATTGAAGATTAACAAGCAGGGGGTGCTTTGACATTGACAGTGATGTGCTCATCAAGACATGGAACGACTCCGAGTTGTCGATGCTGCCCACGTACAGGATGCTGATCAAGGCTGGGATTAGGATATGGGTGTTCAGGTAAGCTCAAGAGTCTGAAACAGGCAAAGTTTTCCTTCACTGCAGTACAAATTGTTTCAGTGGATGTAACCTATTTTGAATGGTGAATGCAGCGGCGACACGGACTCGGTTGTCCCGGTGACAGCGACGAGGTTTTCACTCAGCCACCTTGGTCTCAAGACTAAGATCCGCTGGTACCCATGGTACTCAGCCGGTCAGGTACTCATGATGCCATTGCTGCTCTTCACTTGCAGTATATACAACAAAGCGGCACTGTAACCACTTTGCATTTGCAGGTAGGAGGGTGGTCTGAGGTGTATGAAGGGCTGACATTTGCGTCGGTGAGAGGCGCGGGGCACGAGGTGCCACTGTTCCAGCCAAGGAGGGCGTTCAGGATGTTCGTATCATTCCTGGCTGGGAAGCCATTGCCCAAATCCTGAAGGCTCATGCCTGCCATGAACATGAACCGATGATGTGCAGCGTGATGCCTAGCGAAAGGTGGTTGAAACTGTGTGAGATGGATGGAGAGAGTGATGTAGAGTGCTTGCAAGTAGTAGAAAATAACTAGTACGTAGTTCATAGGTGACGAGTGATTGATTTGGTCTGGGGAAAAGGATGAGAAGAGAATAAGGGTGATTGTGCCATGGAAACCATGGGCATTTGCAGGAACGAGCAAATAAACTTGAAGGCTCTATTCTTGATGTTGTCTTACTATCAGTTTTCACTATGAAATTTCCACATCAAATAGGAGTATGTTGCATCTTCCATGCCAAACAAAGCAGAGAGGGACAACAAAATAAACACCAAGAACATTTCTCAAATGACCCATAAAGTCGCACTATCAGTAATTTATCTCCCATGGAAATCCATATCGAGCTCGCTAACCGTACAGGAACAACATTGCAAAACAAGGCGACTACTCTAACTGAATCTAAAATAGCATGATCTGCAAAATCCATGAAAGCAAATGCAACATCCTGAGGGGAGTAGAGAAGAATCAGACCTTGAACCCCTCGGCACGGAGGCATTGCCTGTGAGCTTCGATCCATTTGGTGCACGCAGACTCCCCGTACTCGACGATGCACTCATCTCTGAACCTCTTGGTGTCAGGGAAAGCGCAGCATATCTTCTTCTTCGGCTTCGGGTCAGTGGCAGGAGCTGCTGGGCCTTCGTTCACAATCGAGCACACAGGAGCATGCACGGGCGTTGGGGATTCCGTGCTGCCCATTTCAGCAGCAGCAACTCGGGTATGATCTGCAAAACGGGGGGCGGGGAAAAGAGAAAATTCACTTCAGTCTCCGTTGATCATGATATATCTGCACATTCAACGGGAATAACCAAAAATTATGTCGTTCTTTGATTACAATCTACTCGAGTAGTAGTGGATAACAGGACAAGCGGATATTGGAACACCGCAGTGTTCTCTGAACTTACTGACGAACAAAAACAGATAGGTTTTCCCGCAATTTTTTTTTTGATCATTTCGGTGCAGCAATAGGAATTGCGCGAGATGAAACAGGGATATGAGATAGCCTGATCTCATGTAAGCCAAGGTTCAATTGTGCACCGGCAAGATTAAAAGTCAGATCTTGATGACAACTATGAGAAATCTATGACAGAGCAGTCGGCTACCTGAATTTCTTTTCCTGAAGGCCCAAATCATGGAGAAAATCTTGCTCCACTGCTCGAATGAGCAAGGATAACCACGAAAACAGACTAATTTAATCCTAAACGCGCACAACAGCATCGGATCAGCCGTCGATTCACGCTGCTCTTTGCAGAGCCCACACCACAAGTACGCCCAACCGCGGCGACTAAACAGAGATAGATGTATGCGGGGATCGAAGGGAGGAGACGTTACTTGCCTGGACGGACGGAACCGAGGAGCGCCGCTGCCGTCTTTCGTCTGCGCGCCGTGGGCGGGCGGATTTTATGTGTCGACGGCGGCCGCGCGGTGGCCGTGCGCGTGTCTGGCTCTTCTTCTTCCTGGGGCTTTTTTTTTTTGAGAGAGAACGTCGGCCTTTATTAATTAAGCAACAAACTTACACAGAGTCTCCGGGATGCAATCCGGAACAGAATGAAAAATACAAAGACTAGAAGAGTTCAAACTAGATCTAGCTAGCATATGAGCTAGAACATTACAATGCCGATGAACATGCTGGAAACAAGTTGAAGAGAGGCCGCCCGCCAAGAGTTTAATCTCTGAAAGAATAGAACCCACCTCCGAGCGATCCCTCGAGGGAGACGAGAGGCGCTGCATCACCGAGATGCAATCAGTGTTGAAAATAACTTCGGAGAAACCCTCCTCTTGGGCCAAGGCGACAGCACGCCGGAGCGCCACGGCCTCAGCCAACTTAGGGGCCCGAGCGCCCAGAAGAGGTTCAGAACAGGCTGCTACACAGCGCCCCGCATGATCGAGCACCACCACACCCAATGCAGACTTGCCCAGCTCTTGCGACACCGTAGCATCAGAGAAAGCCACCACCGAACCTTGCGGCGGCGGAGACCAAAGGCGAGCAGAAAGGGAGGTCTCACGCCTAGGAGCAGGAGCGTGGTCATATAAATGTCGAAAGATCAGGTCGATGTAGGCCTTTGCCCTGGCAGCGGTATGTTTCGGCTGGGGCGCCGCAGATTCATTCCTCGCCAAATTCCGTGCTTTCCAGATATGCCAAATGGCAATCGTAAGAACAGTTGCCTCTCAGTCCGAGCACCTGGACAAGAAGTCGAAGAGCCATTGCTTGGGGGAGGACGAATGTGCGCGCCGGAGCTTGATGTGGAAGAAGCCTTTGATGTCATCCCACACAGCACAGGCATGAGGGCAGAAGAGCAGTGCATGCTCCACTCGCTCCATTCTACCGCAAAAAGGGCAGTCCGTCCTGGTAGGGACTTGGCGAAGACTGAGCTGATCACCTGAAGGTAAGCAATCATGAGCAAGGCGCCAGAGTACAATCTTCATCTTATTAGGAACCTTGACCCGCCAAAGGGCCTTCCAAAGCTTCTCCTCCGCTGGCCAACCTGAACTTTGGCCCAAACCATTGTTGCTTCGGTCTTGAAGAAACCGACTTGTTCTTGCAAAGTTGTACGCAGACTTGACGGAATACTCACCAAACCTTGTGAAAGGCCATCGCACAAAATCTGTTCCACCATTTCTATCAACCAGGACTTGAAGAATTTCCCCGGCCACACCAGGAGAAAAGAAAGCCCGGACAGTCTCCTCGTCCCAAGCCTTCCTGTCAGCATCAATAAGGCAGTGAACTGTGGCAGTAGCAGGAATGGGCGAGGTGGGCTGCAGCACACTTGGTGGAGTAGACGGGATCCAATGATCAGCAAGGATATTTATCTGTCGCTCGTCTCCGATCCCCCACTGCACACCCCGCTTGAGAAGATCTCGTCCATGAATAATACCACGCCACATGGCCGAAGCCATCCGTGGCACCGAGGCATTCCAGAAGCTGCAATTGGGGTAGTATCTACCCTTCAAAACTCTAGCACATAATGAATCAGGTTTAGCTAGAAGTCTCCACCCTTGCTTACCCAGCATTGCTTGGTTGAAGAGGGTCATATCCCGAAAACCCATGCCACCGAGAGACTTGGGTGTCGAAAGCCAGGCCCAAGACCTCCAATGAAGCTTCTTCCTACCATCCTCCTTTCCCCATCACTAATCGGCCACAATTTTTCTGAACTTTTCACAAGTGGCAACCGGAAGGCGAAAACAGCTGGAGACGAAAGTAGGAATGGCCTGAGTGATAGACTTCAGCAGAGCCTCATTCCCCGCCCTAGACAATGGCCGGTCACTCCACCCGAAGATGTTCTGCCAGGCTCTGTCAGTCAAGAATTTGAACGTACTAGTGGGAGAATTACCAACCTCGGTAGGCATGCCAAGATAGAAGTCATGAAAGGTTTCATTATAAACACCGAGTCTGGACTTCACCCTGTTCTTAATGCTGTCCGGACAATTCCGACCAAAATAGATAGATGATTTCTCCTTACCAAAGAGTCCACACTACGCTGGTCACTCTTAGCAAAGAAGATGCTATCGTCCGCGAATAGGAGGTGTGAGATAGGAGGGCCTTGACAGCCGTTTTTGATTCCATGTAGCTCGCCACAACACTCCTTCTGGAAGAGCAGACTAGACAAACCTTCAGTGCACAGAAGAAACAGGTAGGGGCTAATTGGATCCCCTTGCCGGATGCCCCGAGAAGGAACCACAGGCTGAGTAAGCTCACCATTGACCCTGACAGCATAACGAACCGTAGTAACACACGTCATCACAGAATCAATCCAAGCCGGTGCGAAACCCAGCTTAGTCAGGCAAGCATGAAGGTAGCTCCATTCAACACGATCGTATGCCTTCATCATGTCGATCTTAAGGGCAAAGAAGGGTTCTTTCACTCTCTGCTTTCGAATGGTATGCATGCATTCATAGGCAATGAGTGTGTTGTCCGTGAAATCGGCCCGGAACAAAAGCACTCTGGCTTTCAGAGACCACAACAGGTAGTAGCACCTTCAGACGGTTGGCTAGCACCTTCGAAGCAATTTTGTAAAGCACGTTACAGAGACTGATGGGCGTGAAATTCTTCAGATGCTTCGGTCTCGTAGTCTTGGGGATAAGAACAATAACTGAGTCACAAAAACCCTCCGGGATCGGCCTGCTCTCAAGGAAACCACGAACAGCCTGACAGATATCCTCCTCAAGAAAACTCCAGTGGGTCTGATAGAAGAGAGCCGGAAACCCGTCCGGTCCTGGAGCTTTCGTCGGGCCCATTTGGAAAAGCGCAGACTTGATTTCCTCGTTGCAGTAAGAAAGAAACACAATTATTTTAGGGAAAGGAAAGAAACACGTACTGTAGGTGGGTAAATGGAAGCAAAAGGCCGGGCCCGACGGGCCCAGCCCAGGAGGCCACACTTCGTGTTTTTTCTTCCGACAGCGCACACTCCCTGTTTTTGTTTTTTTGACAGTGCACACTTCCTGTCTTTTTTTTATTTCTCTTCGGTATTCGAATTACTCCCTCCGTAAAGAAATATAAGAGCGCTTAGATCACTGCGTAATTTTATAAAGTTTGACCAAATCTACATTAAAAATTATCAATATCTACAATACACAAATGTATTTCATGATGGATCTAATGATATTGATTTGGTGTTGGGAATGCTTTTGTTTACCTATAAAACTTGGCCAACTTAAAAAATACTTGACTTAAGGTAAACCTAATGTGCGAAGTCTAAGGATATGGAGGGAGTACAAAGAGGAAATTGTTCTGAAAGTTTTTTTTCTTTTGCCTCATTTTGGTCAGGATTTTAGGCATCGATGATAAGTTGATTTTCTCCACTATTTCGCCATCAATCCTCTCCCTCTCCCTCTCATGGATTATGTTAGTTGTGGCACATGAAAACTTAGATCGACTGTGGATCGTGATGACCAGGGAAATAATTGGTTCGTTGAGATGATCATAGCTTTAACTGCAATTCTTCTTTGTGATGACTCTAATGCATTGTTATCTAACGTATTCTTCTTGGCTGCGGTGGCGTTGACTGTGTTGTGACGAAGTCGGTGCCTAATTATTTTGGGTGCATCCGAAGCGGTAGATTAAGAATGTTTCAGAAAAAAATCTCTACTATTAGGGTAAATAAGTTTGGAAATAAACCCTGCTTGTACTAATTCTGCTTGACTAGTTAATTAAATGTATTAATGGCTCAGTTCTTAAATCGATTTGGTGCAAAACAATCCCTATTTAAAGAAACCTTTTTTTTTGACAGAAAGACTGTAAGGGACCCCCTACAGCATAATTGGCAACAAACTCAAATTACAAGTACCATGCTTTGAACCTGGGTGGGTGGAAAGGCATCAACCCCTTCCCACCACTAGGCTATGCCTTAGGCTGGTCACAATGGGTAGGAACTTAGGAGTAACATTACACACTCCAATGCAATTTTGCTTATGTGGCACATATTTAATGAAGAGAGAGCTTCTTGTGGTAACTAGCTAAGTTACCGGAACATCACATACTCCAAGAAACAATGAGTCTATGACCTAATAAATACATCGTTGCATGACACTACATACATGTTCCTACCCACTATGAAGGTAGTAACATAGTCTAGGGAAGTGTGTAGATTACTAGCTTATGTTCCTGCCCATTATGACCAGCCTTAGTCTGCAAACAAACCTAATTAATTGCACGCGTAATTAATTATCTAGTTAATTAAGTGCATTAATGACTTGATTTCCAAACTAACCCAGTGTTTGGTTCTCAAATTATTTTTGCATTAATGTCTGCGTGTGAAATGACGACGTGCCAACTATACTTTAATACTCCCTCCGTAAAGTAATATAAGAGCGTTTAGAATACTAAAGTAATGATCTAAACGCTCTTATATTAGTTTACAGAGGGAGTACTATAGATGAGCTGAAACATGGCACGTCAAACCACTCTGCGATGTTTCCTCTCACCGGTGATATAAAATATGCGTTGTCAACCTTTGCTTCATACAACATCTCCACTAGCGGCAGAAAACGGACCGCCAAGCAAGGGTGGCCCAGTAGTGGTAATTGTCCGCTTTGCAAAAAGGATGGAGAATCAACAGACCACCTTTTCAAGTGTCGATACGCCCTTGGGATTTGGTAAATTATCAAGTATTGGCTAAAACTTCACCAATTGGATACTTCCACTTGACAGTTGAGACGTGCCCTAAAAAAATGGTGGATCGGTCTTTCCGAAGCCCCCCTACCAAATAGCAAGGCCATGGCATCCTCAACCATGCTCATCTCATGGTCTACATGGAAATGAGATAAACACACTTGTTTTCCACAACAATGGAGTGCCACCGTCGATCTTACTAGAAAACATCAAGAAGGAGGCCTTGCTTTGGGTGGCCGCGGGAGCAAAGAAACCAAGGACGATCATGTCAGGAGAGTAACTCCTTTAATAGTAGAGATAAGGGGTGTTTAGTTGTAACATAATCAAACCAAACTATTCTTCTCCCTTGATTAATATACTAGGCAAGCCTTTTGTCCCCATTTAAAAAAAAGGAATCGACAGAAAAGGAAACACTTTGGCTCACGAGCTAGGGGCTAGAGCTAGACAACAGGAAAGACCAGACTTGGATTGCGGAAGTGCCTCGCGAGCTTCGTCCTCTGCTACCGCACGGGACATGTGGTTAGCAACCCAAAAATTCATATAGCTTCGTCCTCTGCTGATGGTAGATTGTTTTGTGCAATTCCTATTTTACCTTTGTTATTAGGTATCTCAAAAAAAAAGGGTGTGCTTTCTAGTCAAAGACAAAAAGAATGCAAGGTACCCTTTAATTGTCCAATTCCTCACCACCCTTTTTTTTCCTAATATAGAATAAAAGGAGCCCCACAGGACCTATCTAGGAAAACCAGATACGGTGGGCCTGAAACCACCGCGATCCAAGTCTGTTCTCTGGCCGGCCCAGCCCAGCCCAGTGTGAGCTTGGGAGTTTATATAACCGTCCTACCTCGCTCGGTCGCCTCTCTGGTAGAAGAGAAACCCTAATCTAAGCACCAGTCGGCGGCGGCGCCCAGTTAGAATGATCTCGACAGAAAAGAGGATAGTGGCGGCGGGGGAAAAGACGAGTGAGGAAGCTTTGAAGGAGGAGGCGGAGATGGAGGGGGCATCCGGGAAGCTCGCGGGGCTGCAGTCTATCGTTTTACCTCCCGGCCAAACGACTATGGAGTCCCGTGGCAGGAAGAATCATACGCGTGCAGATATGCTGGTAAATATACACAAGGCGCTTTTAGTATTGGAAGGCATGATGATGGATATAGCACCGGATGAGTCGAAGGACACGCCCGAGGATCACATGTCCAACTCCGGCAGCAGTTCCGGCAAGCAGACTGTCCGCTCAGAAGCCGTTCCGAGATTGGGGAAACAAGTTTTTTCACCTGCAATGGATTCGTTGAACATGATCAGTGGCTGGTACCCCAATTTAGTTAAGATAAGAAAGGGATCATAAAGCCCAAGGCGCTGCCGGAGGGTCCTGATGCCTATATGGAGGGGTTGACGTTCCTGAATGATCTCAAATCCAGGCTTGAGGAGAAACTCAATCGCGCCAGCAAATTCGACAGATTGGAATCAGATGGTGCTGATTGTGGTGGTCATGAGAAAAAGGATGAGCTTGGCAGGGGAAAATCAGATGGTGATGCGAAGGTTGAAGCGGGCAAGCTTGTACTGGGACCTGCATTTCCCAGTGGCAAGTCCATGGTCGTATCAGACAAGCAGATGGTCGAACATGCACCTCCTACTCCTGCCATAGTGGTTTGTGGTGGCGAGTCCGTGGTCGAATCAGACAAGCCGATGGTCGAACCTGCACCTCCCAGTCCTGCCATAGTGGTTTGTGGTGGTGAGTCCGTGGTTGAATCAGGCAAGCCGATGCTTGGACGTGTGGTGATGACAAAAAGGATGAGATGGACATCGCCAAATTGTTTGACGAATTCCAGTCGGAGACGGATGCAGAGTCAGAGTCAGTGATGGGTTCAGATACCAATGAGGGGATGTCCATTGTCAAATCAGACAAGTTGATATTAGATTCTGCAGATCTCATTCCCACCAGATTAGAACAGTACTCGGTCCAGGATCCTGATCATGATGAGATGGACAGAGGCAAACCAGGCACACTGTTATCCATGGAGGCCAAAGCCGCCGAGGCGGCGGCTCACGAAGCATATAGATTTGCTTCAGAGATCCGTTGCTGGGAATCTGCATGGAGCAAAACCTGCAATTTCTTCACAGACACCAGTAAGCAACTATCAAATAGCCCATGTTTAACTAGTGTTTCATGTCAGATAGCCTGTGTACAAATAAAAGGGTAGCTGTTATCTTTTTCATTGGAACTTCGTGTAGGGATTGATTTACTTAATTTGCTGATTATCTAGTGGCAGTTCGTGCATTTGATTAGAACATTTCTGATGAGCGCTTCATTTCCTGATGAGCGCTTCATTTCCTCGGGTCCTTCATGCAGCGGCGCTGAGTTCCATGCAGTTTACACATTACACACCTGGAAACATGTCATACCACCGTGTCGGCTCCACCCCGGAAACCTTGCAGATCTTTTCCGTCAAACTCGCAAAGATAGGTGGTGGTCTTGCGTGGCCATTGTCTGTGTATGGTGTGGTTGCCGCCCGTGACATCGTGGATCACAACCGCAACATTCTCTTCTCTTGTAGTAGGAGCCAGGCCCAAGAACTGAGACAGGATGTACGTATGCTTGATTTTCTTTTGGAGATCATGATTGCACGACTACCTGCGTCCTCTCTTGTTAATTAATGAGGTGATTGTTGATGCCTGCAGGATCCCTTTTTGCACTTGATTGGACCGTCTCGTGCAATTGTATTTATGGACATGGTTGACTTTGAAATCCAACTAAAAGTAAAAGGTACAACAAAGTCTGAAGATAAAGCATTGATCAGTTATGTGTGCAATTATAATGGAGGATGTAGTCCTGGTGTATCTACCTTATGCATTGAGAAATTCTTCTGCACACTGGAGTTATGCTTGCAGCGAATTAGACGAACGGTCCAGGCTACTATCTTGGGTGTTCAGGTAGTCAAATATGGCTCATGGCCTTTTGAATATGGCGGCCGAGTTACTTGCTCCCCACCATCAGAAGGGGAAATGGTGTGCACTGATAGTGGAGTCACTCCTATTATTAATTTAGCATCTAGCCAAATTGTCCTGCTTGAGTCAAAAGGTAAAGCACTGCCGAAAGGTTTTCATGGTTACATAGTTCTGTCGAGGCAAGTTGTTTCTGTAGAAGCTGAAGGAGTGTTGGACCTTGCCCTGGAAGCCTACTCCAGATCTGGTGATACCACTACTGCACAAGGTCATGTCCGTTTCTTGCCCAAATTTTGCGGTATAAGCCAGGATAAATGTTTTCTTGATGATGTCGAGGTAGTGATTACTGTTGCTTGGTCCCTTGTTGCTACGAGCAAGCGGGAGGTGGTGTTAGAACGAGGTTTGTCTGAATATTGACCTAAGAGATTTGGGCGAGGAACACCAACCAATCCCATGATCTGATTCGTATGGGGGTTATTGGAGTATGTTATGTAATCTGTCAACAATTTGTGCACCCACTGTAAATGTGATCTGATTTGTATGTGGGTTATTGGAGTATGTTATGTAATCTGTCAACAATTTGTGCACCCACTGTAAATGTCGTCCAACTATGTACAGTAACTTCTAAGTTATGCTCTGTCGTCTGATGTTGAACTCTATTCTAAAGTTGCTTCTTTATGTTTTTAGTGCATTGTGTGTAGTATAATAATATTTGTCAAATGTCTTTTGTGTGGTACAGAGATTATAAATCACATGCTTATGCTATAAATATCTGAATGCTAGGATTTTTTATTTAGCTCGTCAAACTGATTTGGTGCGAACTAGGAAACCTAAAAAGCTGTGATTCAATAGTGGTGAGCTCTGCCTTCATGGGAGCTTTTCTTTGCAAATCCTAAATGTACGCTTCCTTTTTTCTCTTCTTAAAAGATGCAAATCCTCTTACACTAATTTTGGAAAGCGTGGAGCGGTTATGCTACAATCCTGCTGGCTAACGCTTCCTTTTTGGCATCTTTTAACCGAATTTTCTCATAGCTTTGCGTGAACGTGGTCATATTCAGGTATAAGGGCATCTCCAACGGTAAATTTCCTCCCCCATTCGTCCAAGGGCAGGGGAGGACCAATCCACAGACATGGATGCGGGAGGTTGCCATCCACCGCTGTCCGCATACATTTCAACTCGCAATTGTAATGACCGGATGAAATTCATGCAAACCGGCTGATATCATCAAAGTTCAGATAGAAAATATCAATCTAGTACAACAATGTCTCAAATTTGACTAGATTAACCGGATGTCCAAAAAAGATTTCATTGACGGATTATATCGTCCCACACACTCCCCCTTCAGCTTCATCCAATAATGTATGTACGTAAATGGTCGTCCATCTGTCCTGTGATAGACCAGGGCAGCACATGTAAGCTACATAATTTATAGACCAACATTGAGTGAATGAATGATTTAAACAAGTTGACCAAGAAGAAGCAAAACTTATGATCTCCTCCTCTGTCACGTGCAGTGTCCATCTTGCCTCCAGCTGACGAACCACTTGACAAAACCTGAAACCTGGTGACACAGGTCTGAGACTATGGATAGCATACCAGCGATACGATAACGACCTCACGTTGTGTTCTTGAATGATGTACATGTCGTTGGGAAGGTGCCCTTTTGCTCCTGCCTACGAAATCCACGCCGGCCGTCGTCGTCTGCCATCACCACACCAGACCACCTAGCTCGGAGAGGAGACGATATGGTGTCGGACGCCAGCAAGAAGAAGGCGGTGCAGAAGAAGGCCGCCGCAGCCGCCAAGAGGGGCGCCAAGGTCCCCGCCTCCTCCGCATCGTCTTCCGCCTCCAACAACAAGACGGGGGCCAAGGCCGCTGCCGACGCCCTCGCCGCCGTCCAGCTCGCGGACCGCACCTGCACCGCCGTCCTCACCTCCCACCAGCTCTCCCGGGACATCCACGTACGTCTCCTCTCCTCTCCTCTCCTCTGTCAGAGCAGATCAGACCCCTCTTCCTCTTCCTCTCTTTCTATCTATTTTATTCTATATCTATGCAGAGGAGAGGAGGGGATTATATGTATGTATGTATGTATGTATGTATGGTTCGTCTTTCTTTCAAATAAATATATTGCCTGCGCTGCGCTGCGCCGCAGATGCACATCAGCACCTAATCTAATTTAATTTAATCTAATCTAATCCCAAACAAAAAAGTCTTCTACTCCTTCAGTTCCAAAATAGATGATCTAACTTCATATTAACTTTGTACTAAAGTTAGTGTAAAGTTGAGTCATCTATTTTGGAACGGAGGGAGTAGTAAATAAGTAGTACAAAACAAGCACAACTTTTTTTGTCTTGCTGGATGGGTTGGATTCATTATTTAATAATAATTATTATTATTATGACTTGTGTGCACCTCGCCTGCCCACTCTCTTCTGATTATTATTAAAGAAATATAAGAGCGTTTAGATCACTAAAGTAGTGATTTAAATGCTCTTATATTTCTTTACAGAGGGAGTATATCACAAGATTACAATATGGAAATTTTTCTATTGCCTAGATGCTTCTCTACTCTACTGCTATGCTAGATCAGATCACATCACATCACTGGAGGGGAGGCATACTAATATTCTACTACAGTACAAATTAAATTGTTTATCATACACTACTACATACTCACTCCTGGTCCATATGCAATTCCTATCATATAAACATCATGGATTAGATTAGATTAGATTAGATGGTGAAATAGTATGCATACACACACACCTTTCATGTTTGGTAGGTTTATAACATTGCCCATTACCTTCATTCTCTGCAACTGCAACGCTACCTTTCTTCCACTAAAGGAAGGTACATATTCCCTCTGTAATAAAGAAATATAAGAGCATATACATCACTATTTTAGTGATTTAAACGCTCTTATATTTGTTTACAGAGGGAGTACAAGATATAATGATGAATGGTCTAACTCTGTTTTCTGTCTGTCTTGATGAATGTCACTTGCAGATAGAGTCTCTCACTTTAACATTCCACGGCCACGATCTACTTGTAGACACAGACCTGGAGCTCAACTACGGCAGGTTAGTACGTACATTATATGCCATCATGATCACCATCACGCTCTTCCCAACCTCTTCTTGCCTTTGTGATCTTGGATGTTTAATGGGTTTGTTATTCCATCTCAGGCGCTATGGTTTGCTTGGTCTGAATGGCTGCGGCAAGTCCTGCCTTCTCAAAGCAATAGGGTGCAGGGAGCTTCCTATCCCTGACCACATGGATATATACCACCTCAGCCATGAGATCGAGGCTTCAGACATGTCTGCACTTGGAGCCGTCATTAGCTGTGATGAAGAAAGGGTCAAGCTCGAAAAGGAAGCTGAAGTTTTGGCTGCTCAAGTATGTTTCTCTTCTCATCAATCAATTTTTCTGCTATCATCATCATCTTGTTCTTCAAGCTTGTACCTTTCCTTTTGCAATGCCTGCTCCTGCTCTGTTGTTGTACTACTGATACCGACTCATCTCTCAAGATGTTCTGACGAATACCTACCTGTGCTGGCATATTTAGGATGATGGCGGTGGTGCAGCTTTGGAGCACGTATATGAGCGGTTAGAAGCAATTGATGCATCCACCGCTGAAAAGCGTGCTGCTGAGATTTTGTTTGGCTTAGGCCGAAATGCTAGACAATATCCCTGTTTGAAGGGTGATCCATTATCAATGAAACTAGGAAAAATGAACAATGATGAGCTCATAGTTGTCAATGAGTCAATCGTTTTTATTGTTTTTAAAAAATGCCTTTCAATTTTGCCAAGTTAAAAGGTTCTGCCATGGCTTCCTTTGTTACGATGAACAATGATGTGCGCCTTGCTGTAGGAATGCCTGGCTGTTGGAACAGCCATACTGGAGAACCTGTTGGTCCGCTGACCACAAAATCACCATGAATATAGGTTGTTACAGGTTTTGATTATACATGTCTCGGCACATTTGGGTTTTAATTCCTGACTTTGTTGGACTTTACTCTGTTGGGTGGTGGTAGGATGAAACTTAAAAAGCTACACTTATAGTTCTCTAGTGGACCTATTTTGCCCAAGATTTACTTGTGCTGATTGTGAGATGGTGTTGGTAGATTGTTTTGATAGCTCCAGGCCTACATTTCTCATCTTCCATTGACACAATCAGTTTTATCATGTTTGTAAAAATAGCATGATTACTGCTTAGCTGTTTGAGTTGAGGTTGACTGAGATAATATAGTACCCAGTACAAAATTATTTCCGAAGCCAAATAAATAAATAAGCTTTTGTGGGTTAATAGTAATAATATTGCTGGCGATTCTGTGGCAACATTTGCAGATCTTGAGGCATGCGTGTGGCTGGAAGAAACGCTGAAGAAATTTGACCGTACACTTGTTGTGACTTCCTGAATGGAGTATGTACCAACATCATCCACATGCAGAACAGGAAGCTGAAGCTGTACACTGGGAATTTCGACCAGTATGTCCAGACCCGATCTGAGCTGGAGGAGAACCAGATGAAGCAGTAGAGGTGGGAGCAGGACCAGATCGCGTCGATGAAGGAGTACATCGCGCGCTTCGGGCACGGGTCCGCCAAGCTGGCACGGCAGGCGCAGAGCAAGGAGAAGACGCTGGCCAAGATGGAGCGCGGCGGGCTGAGGGAGAAGGTGGCGAGGGACAGGATCCTGACGTTCCGCTTCGCGAATGTGGGCAAGCTCCCGCCGCCGGCGCTGCAGTTTGTGGAGGTGACGTTCGGGTACACGCCGGACAACCTGATCTACAAGAAGCTGGACTTTGGCGTGGACCTTGACTCGCGGGTGGCGCTGGTGGGTCCCAACGGGGCGGGTAAGAGCACGCTGCTGAAGCTGATGACGGGGGAGCTGGTGCCGCTGGACGGGATGGTGCGGCGGCACAACCACCTACGTATCGCGCAGTTCCACCAGCACCTGGCGGAGAAGCTGGACCTGGACCTGTCTGCGCTGCAGTACATGCTGAACGAGTACCCGGGCAACGAGGAGGAGCGGATGCGGGCGGCCATCGGGCGGTTCGGGCTGTCGGGCAAGGCGGCGGCACGGCACCAAACAGATGCGTGCAACTTCAGCGGAAGGAAGGAAGGCTATTAGTATTTATCAAGTTGAAGTTGTCACCTGAAACTGAAACTCTGTTTTTTACTACTTATTATTCTTGGCTGGCTGGCTTGTAGTATAATGAATGAATTGCGTATGGCATGTTACTTTTTCTTCTTATTATAATTATTATGTTGTGCTGCATTCTATTATTCTATATATAAATGGGCTGCTTAATTTGCATTCTATTGCTATTGCTACGTGTGACTACTTGTGTGTCGAGTCGCTTCATGGAAGCATCCACTAGGGAGGGAAGGTTGGTCAAAGGGGCGGGTGACAAAATTTCGATATCGAGAGAAGTTTTTGAAGATGCGAGCTTTAATGTGACCACGTCGTGTATATTAGGGGGTGGGTGGGTGATTGTTTCGGCAGAAGTTGGCTATCACAAAAATAGAAGGTCCTTGTGCGAAGCAGAATATATGGAGTAAGTATATTGCATGTCAATGTGTGTGTGTGACTAGAAAGAAAGGCTACACAATGATGTCGTGAATCGGGATCCGGAACAAGCGACACTCAACATTGACAAGAAACTCTAAAATCTCTCTGATCTGTGCGAGAAACAGAGACATATATACATACAGAAGAGTAACAAACCAAGGCTAGCAAACGTAGCCCTCATGTCAGCTACGTACACTAGTCCACAACCATTGCATTACACCAGGCAAGTGTTCAACCCGCATTGCATTACTTTCACAGAGAATCACATTGCATTGCATATTACTATACTACACAAGTGTTGAACCCACATTGCATTACACTAGACAATAGTAAATGATGAAACAGTTAAGCAATCATTCGAGTACATATTGGAACAGAAGGAAGCTGAGCACAAAAAACAAGCACAGACTCCATCGTACGTACGTCAAGTATAACCTGCTGCAGCATGCCAATAGAACAGACAGCTCCTCTACTTGGTGTGGATGATAGGATAGTCAATGCTAATGGCCCAGAGCGCATCCACCTTGTGCACCAGGTTGTCCACCACAGAGATTAGTCGTGCGAGTATGACAGGATCAGGGCTAGAATCATCACCAGGCGAAGGCAGATCGGGGTGGTCGACGAGCCCAAGAAGGCGGCTGTTGATGTCAAGGGCGGCCTCCCGGAACGCCCCGCTCCGACTCTGCCCGAGAACCTCGCCGGTGAAGCTGCTCTCCACTTGCTCCACCTTGGCAAGGAGAGGCCAGTTGATGACGCCCTGTCGCAGGCCATCGGCGATGGAACGCAGGGTCTCTGATAGGGTGATGACGGAGTTCCTGAGCTGAGCAGCACGCTCCACTCGATCCGAGTTGACGAAGACGTACTTGTGCTGGCTGGAGCAGTCTCGTAGGGCGGCCACCATGCCATCGGCATCACCCAGGTGCATCTGGGCCACACACAGCTCCGTAAGGGGTCCCCTTGGGCTCATGGCCAGTAGCAGCTGTAGATGATCCAAGCCCCGGACGTAGTCGTGCAGCTTCTCGTCTTCTTCCTCCTTCAACCGCTCCACCACCCGGATCTCGAACGACTCAAGTGCGGGCACGTCGGGGAAGTGGAGGGCCATGTCGAGCAGATCGTCGATCTCGTCCAGGCGGTCTCCCACTTGCTGCCGCAGCCGCGCGGCGTCGGCGTCGGCCAGAGGAGAGGACACCACCGTCGTGGGGCCGGCGTGGCGGCCGGCCGGCTCGGGTGGGAACGCGTCGAGGGTGGCACCAATGCCGGCCAAGAACGTGTCGATGCCGATGCCGAGGGGCCCGGGCAGAAGATGGTGCTTCAAGGGCTGCATCAGCATGTCCCGGATCGCCAAGATGAGCTCCCAGACGACGGAGTCCCGTCGCAGCCCCTCGAGCAGGTACAGCAGCTCGTTGTAGACCCGGGCGAGACGAGACCGAAGAGCCCTCGCCTGGAGCAGCGCTGGCAAGTTGCCAATCCACATCGGCGCCGCCGTCTTGATTTGGCGGAGGCGGGTCACCACGCGGCGGGCGTCTCTGACGCGGACGCCTACCACGGCGAAGTGGGAGACCGAGGCGAAGCGATCCTCGTCCTCGAGCAGGTACACGGAGTTGATGTCGCTGATGCCGGAGATGCGAGCGACGCGGCGGCCGCCGACGGTCTCGACGGCGACCTGGCTCGCGTCCCGCTCCACGGGAAGATCCACCAGCTGCGTCGCCGTCTCCGCCTCCGCCTCCCCTGGCAGCTGGTCGTCGCCGACCCCGCCGACCCGGTGGCGCCGCATCCTGGCTGGCCGGCGGCGGCCAAGATTTGGCAAGATCTTTGCAGTTGCAGTTGCGGTTGCACGCACGCGAATTCCCAAGACGCGAGCGAGAGGTGGAATGGAAGCGATCAGCTGGTGGCCTTGCTTTCACGGCTGTCTACTGGTCGTATATTTATACTAGTACCATCCAAGTACCGATCCGGTATGTCGGTTAGGATTCCGTTGCTTTTTTGGGTTATGGATTCATCAATCCAAAGAAGCTCTAATTAAGTCGATCGCCATCGTTCCTAGTACGTATTATCATCCCGAAAGGCATCAACTCACTAATTAAGAACTGTGCGGTCCGGGCGTCTTTAGTCATCCAACACGGTTTTTTATTGGTCCACCAATCGGTCCGGACACACATTTATCGTAAAGTTGAAATAATCTGAGGGCCTCCATCGTCCTCCCATCTCTGTATTCGTTTTCTTTCTTGCCTTTGCCGCCGCTCCATCACCCCGACTGCCCCGCCACACCCTTGCCAGAACTCAACGAATCTGTCTCCAACGTTGCATCCCGGGCTCAATCCCACTTGTCCACCACCACCGTTCCACATCTCTCCTCCGTCCGCCGCACAGGTACCATCCGCCCCTACGACACTCATCATGCCCGACAATTGTTCGGTGAAATGCCCGTGATCATTTTTTGTCCCTTCTTTCAAGCAATGGATTCAGATTTGAAGTACATATACGAGCACTATGTTTAGTCAGAGGACTTAGTCGTCCGACGAGGAGGACTACACGGATGAGACAATGATGACGCAGGCGGTCATTGCAGACACGGAGCATGCAAAGAAACATGTTCACAATTTCAAGGGATGGATCAAGGGTCATCGAGTGCTCAACCGCAACCAGGCGCGCATACATTTGATGCTGATGGACGACTACTTTGCCCCAGATGCCCTATTCGCTGACACTTTTTGCCTGCGCTTTTGGATGCAAAATAATGTCTTCGATTGTCTCTCATACGTCTCCAACGTATCTATAATCTTTTATTGTTCCATGTGTTAGCGCATATTTCTTCCTAAGTGGTTTTGGTGATTGACAACGATATGTTCGCGGACTAATCGTGTGCGTTTAGCATTTCAGACTATCAAGTATATGGCACAAGACGATTCGTGCCCCTCGGAGTTTCCGAGTGAAGATTGTTTTCTTTCCTGTGCTTCTTTTTCGGTGGACTTGAGTCGTAGGGATAACTGTACTATCAAGAGGGGGTCCGCTTCGGAAAGGTTGGGTGGAACCATTATGTACACACTCATATTGCACACATCGCCTCTTTCCGCCTCTTTGGAGTTGTCCATCTATCGTGCTGGAGAAGTGGTGGAGAGCTGCAAGCGGTAGTACCGCAGGCAGCAGCGGTCACTATAAAAAAATACACTTCCGTGATGATACGTGTTTGTCACAGTAGGTCACGTTTTCTGTCATGCATGTACATCCATGACGATTTTATGACAGAATCAAGATAGTCATCCCTGTGCTGTCGTAGAAGTGTTCCATGACATTACCAAAATTATCATCACGGAAGTGTCCACTTCCATGACGATAAATCGCACGTCATAGAAGTGCTTTCGTCAAGGGTGACCAACACGTGACATCCACCGTAACGGGTCGCCTTAAGCTATCGGTGAAGGAAATATGCCCTAGAGGCAATAATAAAGTTATTATTTATTTCCTTATATCATGATAAATGTTTATTATTCATGCTAGAATTGTATTAACCGGAAACGTAATACTTGTGTGAATACATAGACAAATAAAGTGTGACTAGTATGCCTCTACTTGACTAGCTCGTTAATTAAAGATGGTTATGTTTCTTAACCATAGACATGATTGTCATTTGATTAACGGGATCACATCATTAGGAGAATGATGTGATTGACATCACCCATTCCATTAGCTTAGCACCCGATCGTTTAGTATGTTGCTATTGCTTTCTTCATGACTTATACATATTCCTATGACTATGAGATTATGCAACTCTCGTTTACCGGAGGAACACTTTGTGTGCTACCAAACGTCACAACGTAACTGGGTGATTATAAAGGTGCTCCACAGGTGTCTCCAAAGGTACATGTTGGGTTGGCGTATTTTGAGATTAGGATTTGTCGCTCCGATTGTCGGAGAGGTATCTCTGGGCCCTCTCGGTAATACACATCACTTAAGCCTTGCAAGCAATGCAGCTAATAAGTTAGTTGCAAGATGATGTATTACGGAACGAGTAAAGAGACTTGCCGGTAACGAGATTGAACTAGGTATTGAGATACCGACGATTGAATCTCGGGCAAGTAACATACCGATGACAAAGGGAACAACGTATGTTGTTATGCGATCTGACCGATAAAGATCTTCATAGAATATGTAGGAACCAATATGAACATCCAGGTTCCGCTATTGGTTATTGACCGGAGACGTGTCTCGGTCATGTCTACATGGTTCTCGAACCCATAGGGTCCGCACGCTTAACGTTACGATGACAATTTCATTATGAGTTTATATATTTTGATGTACCGAAGGTTGTTTGGAGTCCCGGATGTGATCACGGACTTGACGAGGAGTCTCGAAATGGTCGAGACATAAAGATCGATATATTGGACGACTATATTTGGACACCGGAAAGGTTCCGGGTAAGATTGGGACAATACCGGATCACCGGGAGGTTATCGGAACCCCCCGGGAGGTATATGGGCCTTATTGGGCCTTAGTGAAAGGAGGGGAAAGGAGCAAGGGAGCGGGCGCGCGCCCCCAAGCCCAATCCGAATTGGGAGGGG